CTGTTATTTAGAAGAACACAAGAAAACCACTAAATCATAGGATAACTACTGTTAAGGCCAAAGTTTGAACTGAGTACCCACAAACAAAAAAAAACATGTCAGCACTGAGCAAGCGTGGACAATGAAACTCGTGACAACATAGTACACAGTCTGGTAAATATTTCAGAAGCAGAGAAAATAAGAAATGAAAATCAGAGGGGAATGTAATTTCTGTCAAGTTGATCTCTTCTGTTTTTTTTTTTGTTAAGTTAGAAATTCAACCAAATGGGGTTCGTGATAAACTTATCTGTGAGACAATCCGTCATTATGGAAATGGATGGTATATGTACTAGTAACGCCATGATGCTGGGTTTCCACTGGATGAGGTGACAGGCAGCAGAGATTGTTCCTTTTATGGAGTTCAAAAGCCACTGATATGATCACAAGAGCCCAAGATTGGACCATATATCTCAGAAGAATCCAGTTCACATCCTCACACACCATTTCTTTCTGAACAATTTTAATAATATTCCACCTTCACATATGTCTCCCAATTGGTTTCTTCCTTTCAGGTTTTCTAATTAAAATCTTGTGTGAATTCTCATCTACCATGTGTGCTACATATGCTTATGGTCTGTGCCATAACTCAGACAGTTGCTGGATTCCCACCATGACAGTCCAGATTCAGTCAAGGCCAGGTGGAATTTGTGGTCAAAGTGGCACTGGGGCAGGGTATCTCTGAGTACACTGGTTTCCTCTGACAGTTCTCATTCCACCAAGTTATTCACATTCATTTATCACCCAGGACTGGCACAAAAGGCCCAATAGTGGCTGGTGTATGAATTACATTAATCACCATGCCCATTTCATCCTCCTTCATTTACTAATTCCAGTAATATGTGGCAGAAAGTATATATTTTGAAGCTCCTTATTATTCAAAAAATATAGAGCAGATCAAACCGTTGCTAGAAGTCACTTTCTTATTAAATTGATGTTGGTATCATATGTTTCACCAATTGATTCTGAACTACTTACAACAGTACAATAGCATATTTTACTGTATTTTGATCATGTCATTTAATGTGTCTGAAGTGAGACTGTAGATTGGTACATGATTAGCACATTTCAACAAGTGGATTACTTTTTGAATATTCCACAAAATTACTATTATGTTCACGTTCATGCTCATTTCATTACCATAACAGCAATATTTTAGTGAAAAATATGTAGGAAAATGTCAGTATTGATTGAAATATGTACAAAACAATGTTGGTTATAACTGATGTATTGTAAATTTTAGTGAGAATTAAATATCTTTCAGAATGTTTACAATGAAAACTATTTTTTTTTCAAGTTCCCATTTACTGCACTGTATATGAGGGTCAATCAGAAAATCAAGTCAAGAAAATCACAGTGCTACTTAACTTATTGGAAAAATCAAATAAGACATTTTGAAACCATATTGCCATGTGGCACAGCACAACTGTACCACAGAGATGTGTGTGTCATTATACAATTTCCATGCACAGTACGTATGTTAGTAGCTGAATTTCACAGACTACTGGTAGAACTGTGTGGAATAATTATAACATGGCAAACTTGATTTTAGATTAATTTCTTTTATAGCTTATGAGGCCAGGGTAGTAGTTTAGCAATATAGTAACTGGGTATGAGTTGGATGACTGGAGGTTATTTCTTTGCAGAGGAAGAGATGTTCTCACCACTGCATCCATACTGGCTCCAAGGCCCATTCAGCCTCCTATCCATTGAGTATAGAGAGGGTGGAGGTTGCATTAAGTTGAGCACTCTTCTCCATAGTGCTGATGTTAATAATGCATGGGGCTGTAACTCCACTCACAAACACATCTTCATTGTTACATAATTGAAATCTCATATGGGCTCCAGTGATTCTAAATATTTTTTTTTTTTATGGTTTTCTTTTAGCTATCCCAGACAAATGCTTTATTAGTAATTTGGGAGAACTTCCTCTACAATCCTTTACAATTCACTATATGTAAGTATACCCTCCACCTCTAAAACATAATCCGCATTGTAGATTTGCAAGATGTTTTCACATAAGTGAAAGTAACATACTATAATCTAAAGATTATATGTCGTATGGAAAAACTTGAGAAGAGAACATGAATGGCATGTACCATTTAATGAAGGAAGACTAGAGACCAAGATATGCTTACACCATTATATGAAAATATACAGAATATGAATGAAATCTTTCTCATATGACACTATCACAGTCATCCAAGAATTACAATATCATGATTAAAACACCGGTTTCACAAAGCATTATTTGAAGATAAGACTTTACACACAGGTTTCATCATGTCTTTCTTTGAACATGTTAAGCATGAGAACATGAACAAAGCATGCATCCATGATTCAAATAAACTACATGAACATTTACAGACTGAACAACTGCCTTTTGTAAAAGGCTGAAAAGAAAATGTTCTTATACATTTCCTGGAAAACAGCTAAGACAATTAATGCTGTTGCTGCTGTATATTGAAAATGAAAATGTTCTGCTTCATGAATATATCTTAACATTACCATTCTGACTGTTCTTGTGGGACACCTACACATGACATAAAACCCATCCCATTGAGCAGCAACTGTCTCGTATAGCAGATAAGTATATCATGAGTCCTGCTAAGATTTCTACATCACACCTATTTTATATAGTGCAATAAACTTCTGCAGTAATATGTAAATGTCTGCCATTAAGAGTCTATATATGTAGGTAAGTCAATAAGTAAGTTACAAATGGATATAGAACTTAAACAAATAAGAGTACTGATTTGAAAAATGCTTTTATTTCTCAACATAATCTCCCTGTACATTGAGGCACTTGTCCCTTCATTTCACAGGCCCCTGAAAACCAGCAGCATAAAATTCTTTGGGATGCTGTCAGAACCAGGAGATGACTTCCCTTTCTACAGCTTCATCATTGGGAAAATGTTCAGCCGAAAGATGATGTTTAAGAGGGCCAAACAAATGGGAGTCACATGACAGGTTAGGTTTTCACAAAGTCTGTGCATGATGGGTGCCGTGCATGCTGACCCCACAACACAAAATGCAAAGAATGGTCTGGAATTACATCATCTCGATCATTACCATGATGAAGGATATGCTAGCCCGAACTGTCACAGGTGAAGTCTTGCTCCAAGTGACTTCCATTTGCTTGACCCTCTTTAACATCAACTTTCAGCTGAACATTTTCCCGACGATGAAGCTGTACAAAGGGAAGTCATCTCCTGGTTCTGACAGCATCCCAAAGAATTTTATGCTGCTGGTTTTCAGGGGCTTGTGAAATGAAGGGACAAGTGCCTCAATGTACAGAGAGATTATGTTGACAAATAAAAGCATTTTTCAAACCAGTAATCTTATTTGTTTAAGTTCTATATCCATTTGTAACTTACTTATTGACTTACAGTCATATTTCTTTTTGCACATTCTTTTGCTCCCAGTGGTAATCTCTCATTTAATGGTGCAACTGGCACATGCTCCATTTCCTGTTCTACTGATAAAAGGACAGGTGGGTACATGGTAAGACCAGCAGCTTGGAAAGTACTACTAGCCTCAACTACTGTTTTACATGCTTTATGCAGTAACTCAGAATTTCCCAAAACGTTGGAAAATAAGGCAGCCACAATTTTTCATTTTCAATAAAGTATCCTGCAATGAAAACTAGATACCCATTCTCATGCCTTTTCTTGAATAGATCAAATTTACTGACTGAAGATGGTGACTGCCCAGTATTTGTATTAAATGATACCATATTACATACCTGTACATGCCAGTCCCTCACTCTAATAACTCAGTATGAACACTCTGGAGATATTTCCGAATGTTCAAAAAAAAGAGTAACAAACAGTAAATAAATTACAAGCATCAGAGTAAAAAATAATTCCAATCTGAACTTATGCAATGTTGTAAAGTATCTCTAGTATGTTTAACAGCATCTTATTGTACTCATACGTGCATTTAAATTACCACTACTTACAAAAATACTTAAGATCTTAAACAGTTGCACAAATGTCTATACCAACATTATCCCTTAGGACATACATGGTCTGACAATAAAGTTCACGAACTCATAGCGGTGAAAGTGCTACATACTTCTTTGCTGAATATCACTGTGGTTTCCTTTAAAGTACTCCCCTTGTGAAGCTATGCACTGATGCCAGCGCATAGTCCACCCTTCAAAACAATTTTGGAACTGGTTTTGTGGAATGGCCTTCAGAGCTGGCATTGTAGTACTGCTGATGTCATCAGTGTCGTCAAAATGCCTTCCTTTCACTATTTCCTTTATCTTTTGGAACAGAAAGAAGTCATTGGGGGCTAGATCTGGTGAGTAGGGAGGATGTTCCAGCACAGTTATTTGTTTACTAGTTAAAAACTCCCTCACAGACAGTGCCATTTGAGCAGGTCCTTTGGGACCATTTTTGCACACACCTTCCTCATGTCAAAATCTTCAATTATGATTTTCCTGTTTCTCTGTCGATGTTCGCTTGCTCTGCTATGCTGACAGTCAGCTGACGATTTTCATGCACAATTTGACGAATTTGTGCACCCCCCCCCCATAATTCTGCTCTTTGCTGTCCATCCTGATCTCTGTCAGTAACACTTTCTCTTCCCTCAGAAAAATGTGTCACCCACTTGTAAACTTCTGTTTTCTTCATAGCATTATCCCCATAAACTTGCACTAACATCTCTCTGATTTTGCTTCCACTCTTGCTAAGTTTAACAAGAAATTTAATGTTCGTTCTGACATTCTCCCAAAGACACAGCAAAACACACTTACACAACAATAGATGCCTACCAGAAAAAGATTGCCACAACATAGCTGTGAAATGCTGACATGCCAACATCATCAAACCATACTGAGGTATCTGTCCACTGCTGCCATAGCAAGTACACGGTGGTGAGTTCACGAACTTTATTGTCAGACCTCATATACAGTAAAGCACATGACTGGATATTAAATGAACAAAATAGCCAAGAAATGCAAACTTAAAATATGTTTATTAATTTGTGTGAATTTACAGAATGTAATGAAGAACACAGTGAAGTTGTATTAATTAATAAGTATCAACATAAATACACACTCTCAATGCTTAACAACAGTAACAAAAAGATTCATACCTCCTAAAGAATGTTAATGAGACTACTTACTCTAATAGGGAAATTGTTCTAATTTCTATCACAGGCATTAATGGGAATGGAATCCCAATTTATTTAATATTAAATTAAAAAGTGTTCATAATTAGTCAACAGTTTCCTAAATTCAATCTTGTACTTCACTGGAAATCCTACTCTTGATTCAAATTTGCATTAATGGTGATTCACTTATAAATATTAACAATATATTGTTTATATATTGGGGTATAATGGAACTGGTTTACACCAGTTCAGCCAAACTGGTACCTATCAAAATCATATGAAAAAATGTCCCAGAACCAAATATGGCCTGGCCAGATGCTATGAAGAAGGAGAATTGCTCTAAATGTTGACCTTGGCTCATACTGAAGAAAATGTGAATACCATTCTCCATTATATGGTATTGGCAAATAAAAGACTGGCAGCATACAAACTGGTAATTAAAATTCTGGCCACACCCCCTTGTGTACATACTTCACACCAGTTTTCTTTATGTGGCATTTAAAACTGCAAGTGATCCACATCAGTTCACATTTCAGAAAAACATGAAAATTCAAAATTTCTTTAGAAAAGACTTAACAAATTTGTATGATGATTCACAGTGTTAATTTATGATAACAAACTTTTGAGAAAAATGTCATAATTTTACAGTAAAATCAACATGCACAACAGAATCACTATTAGTGAATGATCTTGCTCTCTTCCTGCAATATACAATGTTCACATAGTTCATTTGTACAGCTTTCATTCAGGCTGTGAGATTTCTTATGTAAACAGTTCTTGTTGTGGAAGCCATGAACTGCTATTTATTTTGGTTGTGACTCATCTTAATTCATAGTCTGGAGCCATTTACAACCACAGGAAGATTAGATCTATCACTGGGAATGGGAAGAAGAAAAACAAACTAAAGATGAACATAACAGAAACAGAGCCTATATATAACTGTGATTCCTGTAGGAAAACCTTTGTGTACAAGAGTGAGACAGGATATGATGGACATCAGTAATAATTCCATAGGAAGTGAGCTGCAGTAAATGTCAGACATAGAGACACTGGAAAGGAAGCACTGAAGTCTTCTGTGGCTCTGTGAACAATGGAAACACCATCTTCATGATGATGAGCAGGGCTATGCCTTGAAATGGCTATAAATAGAAATGCCAACAATATTGAGATTACATAGCTTTTCGAAACGAGATTCATGTAATATGATGGCAAATGAACCAAAAAAGAGAACAAAACTAACAACCCACCTAGAATGACATTCTTACCAGCAGAGGAAAAAAAGAAACACCATCACAAGGCATACAAACCCTGAAAAGTGTCCTGACATCAGATGAGAAACCAGAAGAAGGAAGAAACACAGAAGAAATTCCAGCAAAAGGAACAGAAGACAAGTAGGAAACACCAAAAACTGTGCAACAGGATATGGACAAATGTAGCCACCAAACAGCAAAGGATGACATGACCAAGTTTCTGTTAATCTAGGAAATATTCTAAGTGAAGTGCAAGACCTTTGCAATGAAGGGTACAAACAAAACTTTCAAAGCTGGATTCCCCTTCAGGAAATTAGGCATGTAATGTATAAGCCAATAAATTGGTCAGCATGAGCCACAGACACACCAGGATGATGATAAATAAAAAGTTCTGTCTACTAGGACATAATGCTTGTGTAGTCTGCATAAAGTCAACCGATGTATCAGAGAAGCCTGTCACCTCCACCTTCTGGGCTGAAGAACAAGCCAGCATGAAGCAGACAGCAGAGAATCAAGATTTTAACAAAGTCTGTCTATATACGAATCATCACCAAAATTAAATATCCACACAGCCATATAAAATGATGCTACTAAGACATGGCTGTGCTTGTTTTTTAATTATGATTGTAGAGTTAACTTCATTTGCTGCTTATGTACGTCTGATTGCAAAACTTTTATATTTCCTGTCATCAGAGCACAACTTTGCAGTGAGGCGTCATACACATTGGCACGTGCATACATTCACTCACAACTTCAGTTAATGGTATATGCTTACAGAATTCTCAACTGACATGCTGTCATTTTTATGGAATCATTCACATATATAAACTTGTTATGGCTTCCTAACAATCAGGACGTGAACTGTTACATCTCAAGAACTGATCCTTTCACATCAGCCCAATTTGCTACTGACCTAGCAAGTACCCTCCATATGAATGAATTTAGTTCATGATTTCCTCAACTGTGGTATTACTGATGTCTTTCTCCACCACAAGATAGTTTATACCCTAAGAAACTAAAAGTTTTAATGTCTTCCAATATTTTGTCACTACATATTGTTGTTCTGACAGGTTATTTTCCCCAAATGCCAATGCTGCTATATAAAGAATGGTTAACATGTCTCTGGTCATGGAAGAGGCCAACTTGTAGCATGTGGATCATTTGCATGAAAACAATTTCCAGTACTGTTATATGAGTAACCTGTCTGCCAAGGACTACACTGACATGATCTCTTTAAGTTTAATTTGCTGAAGTAAATGCTAATTATGTATTCCATTAATATTAGAAGAAAAGTTGTTAATATTTTGCATAATATATAATGACAAAAACTTCCCATAACATTAACTAAGGCAAAGATAGTACAACTAAAATTATGCAAAATATAGATTCAAAAAGAGAAACAAGAGCCAAAGTTCAGTAAACTAGTACAAAATGAAGAATCGTCCTGTCCTTACTACATGCTCAGATTTTATTTATGATCACCAATTTAAAGTGCACAAAAAATTTATAAATTAAATAAACCCATAACACTAGTAAGTGAATATTACATTAAGAAAAATTCATTTCAAATATCTTAGTAAAGGAAAATAGAAAATAATCATGGAGGAATATGCAATTACATTCTATGAAAGTTTATAATTTATATTCTCTATCTGCAAAAAATCTTTACTGCATACACTCACCAACATGTAGAACTGTGCTCTAAAACTCAGTTTAAATTAACATTTTCCAGAATTAACTTCTTCCAATAACTGTGTTAAATTATTTAAGATGCACTGAAATCCCATTCCTCCAAAAGAGATGGTAGAGGTGAAATCAGATAGGAATGATGACTGACAACCAACTGAACTGTCAAATATAACTTAATTTGCATATCTCAGTAATAAAATAAAATTTTCTTAGTAAATTTTAAACTGTTTCCCACTCCAAAAGAATAAAAATATCCAGATGTGTCATAATTCGGAAAGTTAAGTAATTACTTATAAAAGAACTGGTATTTAATTGTGGTTTTAAATTTCTTCAAAACAAGTAATAAGATTTTAAGTGAAGGCAAATTTATAGTGTTTTCACCCAGTTTAGCTTTAGTTTGGATGTAAATAAAGGGCAGGAAGGGTAGGAAATGGGGGAAAACTAGAAAGAGGTATGAGATTCTAGGGGGACCTCAGGAAAAGGATTAAATTACCTCAGTATATGGTTCAATGGCTGGCTCCTTATAGCTGACAACTGGTGAAGAGAATTTTGTGAACTTGTTCTGCTCAAGTGTTTCAGATAGTTTCTATTGCCAGAACACATTTTGGATGATGGGTCTCTTCACTGAAAATGCTTCCAGTTGCTATAGATCAGCCAAGAGAGATGTAAGCACATTACAAGCTACTGATTTCTGACATTTCTGTGGAGTGTAAAGAAATTAGTAAGAATGTATCAAATCTGAAACTGGGCCATAGGTATGATCACAATGGGGGGGGGGACATTACAAAAACTTTGTTCAAATTAAAGATACAGGGGTATGGAGACAGCATTATACTTCTTGGACATTTCATCTACAATGGGATTTCTATGACTACTTTAAAGAAATCATGAATGGTGATTAAAGTAATCTATTAGTCTCTGAATATAGTTTTAAGGGCAATGTATGGGCCAGAAAGAGAAATCAAACAATGCAGAGGTTGATATAATAATGAACTTTGTCAATTATACAATGATTCTAAGACTGTGAAAATTATTAAGGCAGGCTGACTGAAATGGGCCATACACCCAAACAGAATGGATGACAGTGAAGGCATACGGAAGGGATAAGAGGCCAAGACAGACGAAAACTCGGGTGGCTTTGACAGTATAAAAAAAAATCTAAAAGTACTAAGTGAATAATACGGATAAAAGGCACTGGGGACTTTTCAAAAAAGTTCATAAAAGACACAAAGGTTGTAGAACCAAAAAGAGAGAATTTAAAAATGAAGAAAGCTAACAAAGGAGTAGGCATAGGGTGGACACACATGCAAGAAGAGCACTCATAAGAGGCCAGAAAAGAATAGAGTATGATCCACGAAGGGATAAATATGAGTGGATATCTGCTACCTCCACCTACAGATGAGCCTAATTTCCACTTTAATAGAGATTACATGTACATCTGTGACTAATGTCAAGTCATACATAATGAACTGAGGGCCTGATACGCTACAGCACAAATCAGGTATAATGCAGAATCAGTCTGCCTCGGCTGTCTGTTTGAACAAACCTAACAACTGTAAACTTTAATAGCTTTCGTAAACAGTAAGATATGCCTCTGAAGGTGATCTAAGATGAAGAGATTGAAATATGTTAGCAAAACCATTATGTATTCGTTGTATTCTGACTGTTAATGTATCAACTGTTTATAGAATACCCACAGGATTATCAGTCTAACCCATTTAAATTATTTCGTTTAAAACTAGGTGAGCAAACAAGTCATTTTCTGTAGTTCTGAATGGGTGTGAAACTTGGCTTCTCACATTAAAGGGAGAACACAGACTACAGGTATCTGAAAACAGGGTACCAAGGGAAATATTTTCGTAACGCTGATGAAATAACAGGAGACTGGAGAAAACTGAATGATGAGGAGTGTCATAATTTGTACTCCTTGACAAATAATGTTAGAATGATAAAATCAGGGAGGGTGAAATAGGTAGAGCAGGTAATATGCATGGGATAGAAGTGCATACAAAGTTTTGGTGGGAAACCATGAAGGAGAAAGACCGCTAAGACCTAGACACAGATGTGAGGATAACATTAAAATGGATGCAAAATAAATAGGATGTGAAGATGTGGACTGCATTCATCTGCCTTGGGAAAAGGACCACTAGCAAGTCCTTCTAAAAACAACCGTGAACGTTCAGAATAACTAGAATACTGGGAATTTGTGTGGCTGAGCAGCTGTTAGCTTCAAGAAAGACTCAGAGTCATGGAATGAGTTCTAAAGGATCATATTAAATCATAAACTGTCATTGGACACTCTTCTGTGCCAGCTTAAACCAATCTACATTCCTCAAATATCAACTTTTAATACTATTCTTCTACCTACATTTATGCCCTGTTTCTTACCTCCATCATGATTATCACATATCCAGCCCAAAATAACTACCTCAAAGTATGATACTATGTAATCCAGAATGGCTGTAGGAATCATCCAGATCTCACACCTTAGGATTGATATTATGCATATGAATGATGAACTCTGGTAAATGTCCACCCCTCCTTTCTCTTTAGCATGACTATGTGAAAATTGTTGTGTTCTATACGGTAAGTCTATGAAGAAAGGAATTTTACAATTACTTCCTGCTTTGTATACAATAATACAATACATTTCATTATTTCTTTGGTTGAAGCATTAAGTTTTAAATAGCACAACTGCAAAATTGCAGCTGAAGAGTAACAATGAGCATATTTTAAATATTTTCCTAACATTATGCTTGTAAAGAAATTACTTTTGCAGTATAGAGACAGAGAATGACATTCCTACTGCTATGCAACATACATCTTTGTTACTACATACACATACACATCTCATTCTCATATTTTTTGCAGTATCAAACAAAATCTTCATGATTCTCAAAAATGTGTGCTGGACAATGAATTTTCATAGATATACAAGTACTATGTAGAAAGAACAATATGTTATGGTATCAGTAAGTCAACAAAAGACAGAATTTTGAAATGTGAAGGAACACAAGCATCCAGGGAAACAGAAGACAATGAGAAAGAAATCTGTCATCTTTGCCTTTCTTTTGATGGTTGACCATCTGACTTCAGAGATGGTTCTGTGCTCATGTAAATGTGAAATTTGTATTTTGATTGGCAATGCTATACTGTATCAAAACAAAGTATAAAATACAATTCTAAATCCAGACTTGAGTCTCGCTTCTCATGAGAAAGCTGTGTCAGCACATATTTTTAAATTAAAGTCACGTTGTTTTACCATTCATATTCATGTAGTACCACCATGTCACAGAAGTGTAACTTTTATCATGTACCTGTGGCACAAACAGAACTGGGTAGAAAAATTAACAACTTAAAATGAGTGTCAAGATGAAAATTTGATTGAGGAGTGTGATGACAAGAAACAGTCTGACTTGTTGCTTGAGAACTTCTAACATTACCAGTACTCTTAACTGACTAACTGTATAACTGGAATTATTAACAGTAAAAGACTATAATTCATTCCTTGTGTCTATAAACACTCATAAGTAATGTGAAGATTAATCCTATTTGCATGAAACAAGTACACCGGAATTATCCAACAACCACTATAACCATACAGATACCACCATTTCTTGCAGCACAGCATTCAACAATAGTGTTATAGGCCAGAAAAAGATACTAGAAAAATATATAAAATTGAACACGTGTCACAAAAGTGCGCATCATCATATAACTGTGCATGTGCATGCACATGTGCACTCACATACACAAGTTGCGACTAACAACAAGACTTACAATACTGCAAAGCATCAATCATTCTATGACTGATGATGACTGCCGCCATCCATGGGTACATATCTGAACTCTAATGCAGTAGTGAATTTGTCTCTGAAAGTCTAGTGTGTGCAGAGCTGTTATGCTTTAAATGAAGCAATGATTGAATAGTTCACAGAAAAAATGAATAGTATGTATTTTGAAGAAAGAATCAACACGAAGTTTTTAGTCTAACTTGGAGAAAACGAATCAAAATCTTTGAAATTGATATCTAAGTGTATGCAGAAGAGAATATGTGTTTGTATGGCGTAAACGGTTCATTTCCCAAATAACCTGGTCATCTGACATCAGAATCAGATGATAATGTCTGGATTGATTGTAGATTGTCAACCACAATTTTCACCACTTTAGAACATCCAAGACACTGGCTTCATCATGTGAGGCCACAACTGATCCCTGACACATGATCCCCCTCCATAACAATGTTCCCTCACACACAGCTTTTCTCTCGAGTTTTTGGAACACCACACTTACTAGATCTCATTCCACTTGACTTCATCTTATTCCATATTATGGGTAATAATCTCAAGGAATTGAAACCATGAAAGAGATTCTGGTTATGATGGCCATTGTAAAAAATCTGCAGGAGGATGACTTCTGGAAGTCGGCAACAATGCTGGAATTCATGTATAACTACGAGAGAATTACTTTGATGTAGACTACTGCAGTTCAGAATAAAATTTAACAACGCTGCCTGTGAGTACAGTCTCATTATTTAATTGCCATACTATGCACACATGCATGCACAGATATATTAGTGTGTGCACATACACGCAAGCGGGCAGACACATACAACAGGAAACAAGTCTCATGAGCTTCCAATAACCTCTATCACCAATAGTACCTATACTAAAACAGCACACTATATAATAAATATATTCAAGAAGTAAATAATGGAGAAGAAATTCACTGTTTTGCAAAGAGAGATCCAAATCTATACTTTCCAATCACATTTCATTACAAGGTTGAAGAATGCTCAAGGAACTTTGAAATTGGATGATCAACATCTGAAAAATTATGACTGCACTTCATCATGTAGTTCAGAATCAATTTAAGTACCTTTTCTTGGTGAGGGAAATTTGGAGACTTAGGAAAATACTGTAGCACATAGACAGTAGCTGCTAGGCAATGACCGTGAAACAAATGAGACAACAGCCCTTCCTAGGCAGCGGGCTGCATGCAAGAATGGAAGTGGTGTTTTCTATGTGGTCTGCTCTGAGGATATATGACTCAACTGACTGAGTTCAGTTCAGGTAGTGAGTGCAGTGCTGCTGAGTATGGTGAAGTGAAGTGAGTTGGCTGGTGAGCAGTCACAGGACTGCTGTTGTTTAGTCCTTGTGAGCTGTTGCTATTAGAAGCTGGTAGCTGAGGCGCAAGGATAGTTCAGGAACACAGAGGAAAAGGGAACGTCCACTATCAGAAGCCACTACCAAGCAACCGCTGTGAAGACATGACTGTGGACACTCGAGTGTGTATAACAGTGAACTGTAAAGCACAGTTATGCATTGTATTAAAGCGTGCAATAAATCAAGTCACCAATCCAAACCCCATCTATAGTCACTCATACATGTGACAATATAAATAAGATTATCCTGCACAAATGATCCAGTTTGGTGTGCCACCTTTCAGTTTTAGGGTTAATAAGACTACTGTGAACCAACAATAAGAGTTCATACTGTGGTCTTCTGGGTTGTGACACCATGGTCTTGTATGTGGATACAGATATTCAAGAACATGCTACCTCTGTCTTCAGGGTTTAAGTGTGTAGGGTGAGGAAACAGTTGGGACATACAGGCAACCTACAACAAAAGCAGTCACTTCGGTCTTAGAGACCATCTTCCTTGCAGCCTTCTGGGAATCCACAATAGGACTCAGGCAACCTACAACAAAAGCAGTCACTTCGGTCTTAGAGACCACCTTCCTTGCAGCCTTCTGGGAATCCACAATAGGACTCAGGCAACCTACAACAAAAGCAGTCACTTCGGTCTTAGAGACCACCTTCCTTGCAGCCTTCTGGGAATCCACAATAGGACTCAGGCAACCTACAACAAAAGCAGTCACTTCGGTCTTAGAGACCACCTTCCTTTCAGCCTTCTGGGAATCCACAATAGGACTCAAACAGGCAAAGGGATTTATATCAGCACCCTCTGCCAGAAGAACGAAGGACATGAGATCAATTAAGACGGGTGGTAGGATTGCTTACTGGACACTGCAACCTAAAAGGATACATTTTCAAACTGGGACTGACAGATGACCCAACCTGTGAAAGGTGTCTACAAGAAGACGAATCAGGCACACATATCCTATGTGATTGTGAGGCCATAGCTTACTTAAGATTTTGTCACCTGGGTCAGTTCTTCATGGAACCAAGTGACTTTTATGACACTCCCATAAATAAAGTCCTACATTTCATTCGAAGTGTAGGATTAATAAAGGGTTAATCCAAAATGGAAGGACAATAGATCATTGATGGTCGCAGTGCGAGGGCCGGATTTTATGGCCCACCCCTTACACACATACATTCCTTGCAGCCTGAATATGTAAAAAAAAAAACAGATCCCTTACTCTACAACTTTCAATCCTGAAACGGAGCCAGCATGTTCCTCCAAAATATCAGTATCTACCAACAAGACTACACAATCACAACACACAAAGGCAGAATCTGAACAATCACTGTAATGAATACCTTCAAACTTACAACTACAGAAGTCTTGTAGAATTGGTTTTGACAAAACACCTGTCTCACCATCAAGATGACTTTTGGTGAAATATTTTCATCACCATGTATACTACTGTTTTTAGAAAATATATCTGTAGCATCACTGAAGAATAATGAGTTCTGCATGTAAAAGAATAGATTTCAGCTCTTTGCTGTATAACCTGCTATTCCCGCCATGATAAAATTCACTTTAATACATCTGCAAGACTTGTATCCAACACATGTCTCAAACAGAGAATGCATTCTTCTACAGGGGATGGACAAACATATGGAAACACCTTGTGAAATTCATGCCTGAATTGAAGTGTTTATTTTAGCGACGTTTGTAGGTCACGCTGTCGTATCTGCCCAACACCACTACCTGCACAACCTCTGCAATATGTTGCAAGCTTCATTTGTTGTCTAGACAGTGTTCTGTGCAATTTTTTGTGCATCATGTCAGAGCTAACAGAATTCGAACGCAGGCAAATTGTTGGGGCCCATATGGTGGGTGCTTCCGTAACAAAGGTAGCCGAGGTTTTTAGTGTTTCAAAAGGCACAGTATCCAAGATTATGACCGCATACACGAGGACTAAAAAAACTGCATCCGATAAACACCAGCGTGGACGGAAATGTCTTGAGTGATCGAGACAGACAAACATTGCGTAGGATTGTGACGAAAAATAAGAAGACTACAGCTGCAAAAGTGACTGCTGAACTGAATGTCAAAACAGTATGAAGGGAACTCCACAAGCAGGGTATTTCTGAACAAGCTGCAATTCCAAAGCCACTCATCAGTGATCAAAATGTCAGTAAGAAGACAGTGTGGTGCCGAAGTCATAAAACCTGGACTATGGAGCAATGGAAGACAGTCATTTGGTCGGATGAGTCCACCTTCACTCTGTTTCTGACTTCTGGCCAAGTTTACGTCTGGAGAACGCCATCCCAAGCTTACGATACAGACTGTTTGCTGCCAAGAGTGAAACATGACAGGGGTTCGATCATGGTATGGGCAGCCATATCATGGTATTCTGTCAGACCCATCATTACCCTGCAAGGTCACATCACTGCCAATGACTATGTGACCATTTTGGGTGACCAGGTCCATCCCATGGTGCAAACTTTGTTCCCTAATGGTGATGCCATTTACCAAGCCAACAATGCCTGTGTTCACATAGCTCACATCATCCAGGACTGGTTTTCTGAGAACGAAGATGAAGTGTCACGTCTGACATGGCCCCCACAATCGCCAGATATCAATATTATTGAGCCTTTGTGGTCTGTTTTGGACAGCAATCTGCGTGCGTGCTATCCACCTCCATCATCGATAACAGAACTTACCATGTTTTTCAGGAAGAATGGTACAAGATTCCCTTGCAAATCATACAGGACCTCTATTTATCCATTCCAAGGAGACTGCAAGCAGTTCTGCAAGCCAGAGGTTGTCCTACACCATATTAGTCACGGTAATGTGTTTTTTGTTGAGTGTTTCCATATTTTTGTCCATCCCCTGTACTTAACTACATTTCCTCCATTGCTTCAAGGAAAATCATTAAGGTTGCAAAACTGTGATTCCACATGGTCCTTTGTCTGTCTGTGTCATTACCTGTAATCACAGCATTCAGCATGCACAAGGCATATCATTGTCACATTTTGCAGAACCAAAGTTGCTCTCTCACAGCTTCCATGCACAAATGTGTATTCAGATACTGCTGCACAATTCATTATATCATTATGGTAAATGTGTGCAGCTACAGAAATCTAAGGCAGTTTCTTTAAAAAGGGTGATATATTTTTTAGGAAACAGTAATGACTATGATGAGTACATGCGGCCTTCTGTGATGTCAGGATGTGTAGTCCAGTAGAAATGAACTTAGAATGGGCTAAAAGGTGTCACATCACAGAAGACAGTATAGTTACCACATTGAGAAGCGCACATATGAAGATCCAAAGCCACATCATATGGCGAAATAACAGGTAATAGTTGCTTGGGCCTGAAGTTATGTAATGCTGGTTGTACTACCAACTGTCAACTCAAATCCCACCTTACACTGTAAATGAACTGCTGCAGATCAGTTTTGCAATTCACTTCACCACTTCAAAATGTAATGATAAGATGATATAAACATAAGTCTGTAGTCAGGATAAACTGAAGAGGAACACAGACCATAACAGCCCTACAACCACTCCTGTCTAGCCTATAAGATACCTTGTGAATGAATCAACCAGTTTTAAGCATGGCAACATATCTCTGAAAAATCAGTCTGCACAACATCTGCAAGCTACAGCATAACATTAATTTTCATCAAAATTTGTTGAGCCTATATCATACAAATGCCTTCATCTCTTCAATTATAATTCAGTATCTAAGTAGAGACTAGATGATTCATGAGTAAAATTCATTAGTGAATGTTAATATACCACTATGTGTGTAAAAATGTCTTTGTAGTTATGCAAAATGCAATAAACAAACATACACAGATTTGGTATTGAACTGAACACATACTACATTTCAGCACATTATATCAATAGTGGTGCTCCATGTTATCTTTGAGGTACAGAATGATATAAAAAAACATTTTTTTTTCTACAGAATGACACATCTTAAAACATAGGACACTAATATATAGTTCTGGTCATAATAGTCTTTCAACTGTTTTCAGCTGGTTCTGTCCACATCACAGCCTCATCTGTAAACCTAACTCCTAATACTAATTAACATGTCTTGATTTCATCACCATTCTTGATATCAATATTATATTAAAATGACTAGCTTATAAAATTGAATAGGACTTGGAATGTACTGTTACTCTTTGGTTAAAACTCACCTCTTGCAACCATTAATATTAATATTCACTAATAACACTTGGCAGACAACAATTTCTGTTATTTAACATATTTTATATTTAGTGGCACTATTTAATATTGACTAGAAATTGTATAATTAGTATCATATATTTGTTATCTGCATTATGTTACTATGCAATGATACTTATGTGACAATAAAATTATGTTTTGTGATATACTGAGAGATCATTTTGCAGACTACCTTCACCACACTGTCCTGCTAGCAAAAGGCTAAAGTATTGACCATATTATAATTCTATTAAATAGTCTACTTTTTCATCTGTACAGGGTTCCCAGATCTTAATTATGGGCACAATACTATGAGAAAATTTAATGCAGTTGTAAATGAAGAAATAACTATGTGATACTTAAATAATTACTGTTTCTTGTTACAAATATGAACAACAGCTACCACAAGTGCCTGAAGGAGGAAGCTGAATGTTTTATTAAACTCTACTACAGAAGTGGTACGAAGCTGTGTCGAGCTCCTTAACTGGGAAATTGAAAATAAGTTACTCTAGTAACGAATGATATTCACGTGCCTTGAATTGTCTGAGTAGCTTGCCACTTGATCTTTGATTAGCTACTGCAATTATTTCACTCCTGAATACAGCTATGGTTATGTAAATAATCACCAATGATGTGTTCTACTCAGAATTTTGATGTAATGAATCTGAAGCAATATTCTTCATCACTTGCAGAATATTCTAATGCAATTACAAACATAGTTTAATCTTCACACAAAATCTTCACTCGGCACTGCAGCCACTAATTGGCCTATTGTACCTGCCCGGGGTGATTATGATGATGAAGAATTTGGTGGAATAAAGATTGGCAGGGGAAACCGAAGTACTCGGAGAAAACCTGCCCCAGCGGCACTTTGTCCACCACAAATCCCACTTGATCAGACCCAGGATCGAACTCAGGCCGCCGCGGTGGAAAGCCAGCGCCTAACCACTTGAGCTATGGCGCGGCCTACTGCAATAGTTAATGGAACAGAAATGTAATGTTTAGGTCAGTAGGAGTTATGGCAGAAGCTAATTACCGTGCAACAACAAATTTCCAACATACACAAAATACACAGATGCTGTTCTGTCTGCAACACATGTAAATCAGTGGTTGATCCAAGGCAGAGTGTAGGTTTTTAAAACTTCATACAAGGTTTCACCTTTTCTGTCCTTTACACTACAATACTACTACATCTGAACAGCCATGAGGTACGAAAAAACTGAAAAACTGTATACTTGCAAATATAGCGGCATCCATATTATGATTAGCAAGAAAATTACAGATCTATCTATACCATAATTGACTACATGACCCCTCTACTGAATGAAGTGTGAAGAGAATGAGAAGTAACTGAAAGTGAAGTAACAGCAACGTACTAAACATGAAAACATTCTGCCAAAGTACAGGGTGTCCATGAAGTCTCTTCACAATTTCAAAAATTTATTCGAAAGGCAACTGATGCGATATCTTCATCAGATTTGTTGTATGTATTTAGTGGTTACCAAAATTTTTATCACATGGCATTTGTGTATTTCAGGTACCCTGTTGATGAATGAGGTACTGGTAAATGAACCCCGTACAAAATGGCTACTCCTCAAGAGAAGGCACAGTGTGTATCATGGTTTATTGAAACAAAATCGGATCTGCAGACTCAGCAAAACTTCAGAATTAAGTATGGAAGAGATCCAGCATCACATCCATCAATTCGTGCATGGCACAAAAAATTTATGGAGACGGGGACAATATTCAATAAAGGGAGGAATGGACGACTTAAATATATACGTCTCATGTTGTAACAATTTCCACTTATCTGTCTTTTCATTTGCCTTTGTAACAAATTTTTAAAACTGTAAAGAGACTTTATGGACACCTGTATAATACTACTGTACACACAAGACACATTAATAATTACTCCTATGGTTGTATAATTGGGATTGGCTGACATGAAGAGATGGGACCATAAAGAAAATGCAAAGGAAAAAATACTTCATACTGCGTCATTTTGGATATATGAGATTCCTATGCTTCCATATTAGAGAGATGTTTAAAAAACTGTTTAGGCTCATTTCTATTAATCTACTGTGCCCATGCAAAACAAAAACTACATTCATCTATAAAATTATCCTATGAAATTTTTTTAAACTGAAATACAATGCTTATCACAATATGCCAGTAATTTCAATGAAAACATTCTGCCTAGTTACAAAGGATTGGTGACACATAATTTAAGAGCTGGAAACCCTGTAGTAAAAGATCATAACTTCAGTCTTTGTGAAGAAGCCTTTTCTGATTGCAGCACTGTTCCAAATTGCATTCACATGAGGGGTCACACAGGCATTGCTTTGGAGTTGCGAAGAGAGAGGAGACAGCACAGAAGACTTTGCAAGTTAAGGGACAAAGTATTGCCTGATGTGCCACAGCAATGATGCGATAATATGGACCATAAAATGGATCCAGCTCCATTGGACATAACATAAGGTTCAGATTTACCTGTAAAGGCTGGAAAAGAACACAACAGATCACGTTTCAATGACAGTCTCTAGACAACATTCACTTGCTACTTTGAAAGCCATATGTATATTGAGAAACCGGTGTGTGCCTTGGAAGATTGCCATTGGTTTAGAGAACCTTGTTTTGCAGGCGCTGCAATTTCATTAGGTTGGTATCTGCCACAAATTCCCAGATGGGATTAGCATTAAGTCATTACAGATGGAGGGTCAATGTAATATTAGCACAAAATCGCACGCATCTGAATAGGGAATATACTCTAATGAATGTTCTGAAGGCCTTGGCTTTCATCATTTCTACATGCAATCTCCATGTAACTTTCTTATTGAAGATTACACTGAGATATTTTGCACTATTTACAAACGGAATATTTCATCCATTTCGCATAAGACAAGACTCAAGTGGTCGAAAATTATGAGAGAAGTAGATTCCCCTTGTCTTATCTTCATTAATTTGTATATTCTGCCACTCACACAGGTCTCCATTGAGCTTAGACTGTGCTGGAGTTTTCTGGCAATAAAACCTTCCTTGCAATCTGTTGCATATAGAAAGGTGTCATCTGCAAAGAGGGCTAGATGAACACCATGTGTTTGGGGGGTATCATTTATGTACAAACTGAAAAGAGTAGGGGATAGGACCGAGCCTTGTGGCACCCCTGCTTGCACTTCCTGTGGCATAGACATTTCGCCTTCCACTGAAACTCTGAATTCATGCTGTGAAAGAAAGGACCCAATAAGCTTGTCAAACTGTTTTAAAATTCCAATTTAGATAACTTATACAGCAAGTCAGAGTGCCATGTGGTATCAAAGTCTTTTTCGATGTCCAAGAACACTGCGGCTATAGACATTTTATTGTTGAAATTAAAGGTCACATGGTCCATTAGCCTCACACATTGTAGTGTCATGCTGTGATGTGCAGAGAATATCAAAATTTCTGCCAAAGATAGTCTAGTTTATTATGAACTGAAGAAGCATAAGCCATGGTTGGATGAAGGATGCTCAAAATTATTAAACAGAAGGAAACAAGCCAAGCTTCTGTGGTTACAGGATCCAAGCAAAATAAATGGGGATAATTTGAACAATATAAGACGTGAAACCAGCAGGCATTTCAGGAATAAAAAGAGGGAGCATCTGAAAGACAAAACAGATGAGCTTGCAACAAACAGTAAGAACAAGAACATTAGAGACCTGTATAGAGGAATATATGAATTTCACAGCGGTTACCAACCTAGAAGTAACTTAGTGAAGGATGAGAATGGTGATCTGCTTGCAGATTATCACAACATTTTGAATAGGTGGAAGAACTACTTTTCTTAGTTACTGAATGTACATAGGGTCAGTGATGTTAGGCAGATAGAAGTATATACAGCTGAGTTGCTAGTTCCTGTTCCTAGCCCTTTTGAGGATGGTACTGCTACTGCAAAGTTGAAAAGGTATAAATTGCCAGGAAGTGATCAAATTCTGGCAGAAATGATTAATGCAGGAGGCGAAATATTACATTCTAAGTTCCATAAGCTAATTACATCTATTTAGCATAAGGAAAAATTGCCTGAAGGAGTCTATTATTGTATTAGTTCACAAGAAGTGCGATAAAACTGACTGTAGTAATAATTATCAGGGGATATCACTGCTATCAACTTCACATAAAATTTTATTTAATAATCTTCTCTCAAGGTTAAGTCCATACATAGATCAAATTACTGGGGATCATCAGTGTGGGTTTCAACATAACAAAACTACTGACCAGATCTTTTGCATTCCTCAAATACTGGAGACAAAATGGGAGTATAATGGGACAGTACATCAGCTATTCATAGACTTCAAGAAAGCCTATGATTCAATTAGGAGGGAAGTATTTTACAATATTCTGATACAGTTTGGGGTACCCATGAAACTAGTTAGGCTGATTAAAATGTGTTTAAATGAAACGTATAGTAGTCCATATAGGTAAACATTTGCTGATAATTAATTTTCCTATACATAGTGATCTAAAACAAGATGCTTTATTGTCACCGTTTTTCAACTTTGCTTTAGAGCAAGGGTCTCCAAACTACGCCCCGCGGGCCACATCCAGCCCGCGAAAGAATTGTGCAGAAATGCGCCAATTGAACTAATTTTCCAATGAGTACTGGTAAAAAAAAAATACTTGTTCATAGATTTAAACTAATGTTTGTCATATCTCTCAACTATTACTATTTTCTCATGGCGTCAATGATGAACTTAATGTCACACATGAATTAGTGTCACTTCACAGCATGCATGGCACTACAACAGGAGATGATATCTTCAAAGAAATACAAAAAAACACTAACAGAATATAATTTGGACTGGAACCGTCTGCAGTGCGTGACAGTTGATGGAGGAAAAAACATGTCTGATATAAAAATATGTTTGGTTGGCCAAATCACAAAAGCTTGTGAGGATGCAGAAATATCAAAGCCAATGTTTCTTCACTGTGTTATCCACCAACAAGCACTCTGTGCAAAAGACGATGATATGAGCTCTGTTTTAAAACCTGTTATTTCTATCGTTAATTTCATTCGCTGTCATGCACTTAACCATCGCCAGTTTCGGTCTTTTCTCAAGGAATGTGATTCCGAGCTTANTCTGGAAAGCCAAGTGAAAAATTGTAACTTTGTTCATATGCTATACTGTGCAGAGTTGCATAAAAAGGGTGAAGCAGAATTTCCTTCCTCGTTTGCAAATTTAGTCATTTCAGATTTGAAAGAACAATTTCGGAAGCGATTTGCTGATTTGGGTGCCAGTGCTCAGGAAATTAGATTGTTTCAAAATCCGTTTGACTGTGATGCTGCAGATGTCCCAAGTCAAATTCAAATGGAAATTATTGAATTTCAGGAAAATTATCATATATTAAAGACAAATACAGGGAAAGAAATTTGATCGAATTTTATAAATTTCTGAACTCTGAGCAATTTACAAATTTAAAGAAATCTGCTTGTAAATTTATCTCCATTTTTGGGGCGACATATTTGTGTGAACAAACTTTTTCCCAGATGAAGTACATCAAGTCGAAATACAGGGCGTTTCAAAATTTGAACCTCAATTTAATCAGATTTTAAGAATGCAAAAAGAGTTCCATCATTCACATTGTTTTATTATAATTTGTGATGAAAATATGAGCATTTGCTGCTACTGTCTGTTGTCATTAATATACGATAATTTATTCTCACATACTTTGTATTTAGTTTATGAAATTCTGTGCTTTTGATAAAACTCATATACCTAGAGTTATTAATTTCTCATTTTATCTGGCCCATTGAAAGTGCTGAATTACCTAATGTGGCTGTCATCTGCTGTCTAAAAACATAAAAATTAGAATATACAAAACTACAATTTTGCCTGCGGTTCTGTATGGGTACAAAACTTGACCTCTAACATTCAGAAAGGAACACAGACTGTAGGTATTAGAGAACAGAGTGCTGAGGAGAATATTTGGACCAAAGACAGATGGCGTGATGGGAGATTGGAGGAAAGTGCATAAGAAGCTTTATAACTTGTACTCTTCACCAAATGTAATTAGAATGATCAATTCAAAGAGTATGAGATGAGTGGGATATGTATCGTGAATGAGGAGAAGAGGAATGCATGTAGGATACTGATGGGAAGGCCAGAAGGAAAGAAACCATTAGGAAGCCAAAGATGTGGGGGGGACAATATTAAAAGAGAGAAAGGATGGGATGGTACAGATTGGATTGATCTTCCTCAGGATAGGGACCAGTGGAGGGCTCTTGTGAACATGGTAATGGACCTTCAGGTTCCATAAAATGCTGGGAAGTTCTCGAGTAGCTGCATGATTAGTGGGTTCTGAAGAAGGGCTCAGTTCCACGAATGAGTGTTAGGTTACATAGTAAGCCAGAAATTCAATGAGTTAAGTTAAGAAAATGATGCATAGCAAACTCTGTTACAACCAGAAATTACATAAAATTAAGGATTACACTGTTAAACTTCAAACGATCCATTACCCAAGTGTTTTAATGCAACTGAACTTACAATGCACAACTGCCCAGATGTCATCTGTACTGCAAGCACAATATCTGGATTTCACTTTAGAGTTCTGGCAATGCACCACACTCACTCTCACTGTTTGGCAATGAGGAACAAAATAAGTGGTAATGAGCATGTAAGAAATTAAATAAGGACAAGTTGGGGTTTAGGAAGGCTTAAACATAAATAACTTTATGACAGGATACTCCTGATTATCTGTGCTAATAAAGTTGGAAGAGGATAAACCAAAACCCAGGGAATATGGCCATTTTTTAATATAGAAATTTGGAGGTGTCTGATTTAATTCCCTTGAAAATCACAGGAATTACAGAAACACTGAACTGAACATAAAATATGCTGTTTTTAGGTATTCAAAAAAAATTTTCTCCCCCACACATATTTTGTGAGTTACACATGTATGTCTTCACGTAAAAGTTCATTATCTCTGACTTATTTCAAAATTGGGAGGTGCTGACACATTTTAGTCCAACTCATAAATATTCCAATTTTTATGAAAATCCATTTAGCAGTTTCTGATTCATTTCATGTACATGGATGCCAGGAGAAAACTTGATAGGTCTTGTGCTGCACTGCTAATGTGGCTAAAAATAGGCACACAGATAAGCTGCAAAACAGATAACAGTAGTACTATATACATATATAAATAAAGATTATTATTCAAAACACAACAATGGTGGTGGTCGTGATGATGAACATAAAAGTTGGAATACTATACCTAGAATTCAAATGTTAAATTAAAATTCTGTACATCAATGATTATCATCAATTCTAGATGCATATATTCATTCTCATAACCATTAAATGCTGTGTAAATGACAATGATTAAAACTTTACATATTCTCCATGAATAAACTTAAGTCTGTTTACAAATGTCACCTTTTTTATTTTTAGTCTCATATACACAGGACAATTCAAGCCCTAAGGCCACTGTTTAGGATGGCAAAAAAAAAAAAAAAAAAAAGGTAAAGCTGTAAAGGTCCATCGAGTTGTGGAACATCGAGGCTCAAGCATCATCTAGACGACTGGCTCACAGATGGCGGTGATGTTGCCAGCCCTATACATTGGGCAACCCTTAACCACAGGAAGATTCCTGGTACTCATTTCTGTTAGAGGCTGAGTCGACCCCAGGGCCACAGTGCTAATGGAAGGATTAGTTAAACTGAAAAAATCCAGTGACCTCATTGCGACTCAAACCTGCGACATTCCAGCTTGTAGCATAGTGCCTCAACCAACTACGCTACTGCATGCCCCTTCTGTTTAGGATGTTGTTCAAAAAGTAAACAAACAATTGTCCAATTCACCCCAAGTTTAGAATTATCACATTACAAACATGTAGCCTTGATGTTTTTCGTACATTCATGTCACATGATGGAGCTCATACTGCATTCACTTAGGCTCATGTTACTTCCAACAGCAAAAGATATGACATTATTTACTACCATGGAATATGCCAATACGAGTTTTGTGTATGCCTTATGTGATGAAAATGCTACAGCTGCATCAAAGGAATACCAACATCAGTATTCAGACAAGAAGCAATCCAACAGACACTCCATCCTGATGGAGGAAAGTATATTTACGCCCACCAGCACTTGTTGACTGCAGCAGACACAATGCGCAAACATTGGTATTGTATATGATAATCCACTGACTCGTACTCATGGTCACATACTTGATAGGCCTTTCAGAGTGCAGTTTGGTGTACACTGCATGAAAAGCAGTTGTATCCTCTTCATGTAAAACTCGCACAAGAGCTAAAGCCAGGTAACAACAATCTTCACCTCAAAGTCTGTCAACAGCTGCTATGCAAAACTACACATGAACCCAACATTTATGTTACAACATACAAGACTGCAACAACCTGGTCAGTCATGTCCTGGAAGCTATTACAGGATTCAAGAGCCAACACAGCTAACTGGTTAATGTGGGGGATTCCACTGACACTGCTGGGAAGCATAGGTGCGAGATGGAGGAGGTAACTTCAAACAGTTTTGTGAAGAAATGCATGAAAGTATGTGTAAGTCTCTATTATATGAACATACATCTGTGTTAAACATCATGTAAAACTCAAAATTCAAAATTCACTGTAATTACAAGGCATAAATGAAGATGTTAAAATGTAAATAAGTGAATGTATACATGGATGGTCAATTACTTCATTTTCATAAAACATGGTGAAATGTCGTAACTTGGACAAGGGTGATGAACCAATCGTCTGCACAGGACTTGGTTCCCACACGTACATAAATTTTCAATTTTTTACTTTTCTTCTCCTCCTTTGTTTGTACCTTTATTTATTTTACTATTTAATTTTCTAGCACTCTAGTAAATATTAGGAGCAGGGATAGCGCAGTCAGTATAGAGACTGGCTATGGGTTGGACACGGGGTCAGAGTTCAAAGTCCCAGTAGGGTCAAGAGTTTTCACTTCTTCAATCATCCAGACTGGCTCTGGGGTCCAACCTCCTACACAATGGGTACTGGGGGCTCATTCCCGGGGGTAAAGCAGCCGGGACATGAAGCTGACAACTCACCTCCAACTAGTGCCAAGGTCAAGAAAATGTGGATCTACACGTATACACACACTCCCCCATACGTCTTCATGGCATAGTGCTTAATTACTTAAGCATAGGGACAACTTTACTACTTTATTAGTTAGTAGTCCATGTCTATCTTATAAGCAATTAGGCACAATCTTTTCCCATTCATGACAACAATGTTCCTGCTAAGAAATTCGAGAAATTAAAAAGAAAATTATATGAAATTAAATCAATAAATATTCAAGCACACTATTTTTTGTTAAATTCCTATTTTCCCTTCTATTTCCATTAATAGACTAATTTTATGCTGTTTTTCACCTCATATTCTCTGGACCAGAGAAATGTTACAATGAAGGAAAGTTCCTATTTACTTCAATCCTGTATTACAAAGGTTTTACTATAGAAAGGTAAATATATCAACAGAATTTACAATGTCCTAGCTACATAATTTCAGTAGAAATAAACACTGTCTTAACGTTTATAAAAGTTAATCTTTTGTTTATTCAAACATAGTTTACCTTGCTAGATCATTTTCTTTGGACAATGTCTATGTTTTAAATTTAAATTCAGAAAATTACTCAGACTGCCTCTATCCTGTCTTCAGGTAATACACAGAAGGGGAAGAGGAAACTTACAAACACTAGAAAACTATTTAAAATTTCATATAGTAACTGTGAAACTCGAGCAGAAAGAGATGACAGTAAACACTAAATATACTTACAATGGCAACTGCTTGTAGAATAACGAAATGGTAAAGAAGGTTCATCCCATAGGCCACAAGACACCAGCTGAAGTCTGAATACCTTTCTACATTATATGCCCCTAAGGAGTAGATTAAGTTACCATGTTAATATATACAGGAAATCACAAAATGTATGTCAAACAATTAGTGGTGAGAAACAATATTGTTCTTTGCTTGATAACCAGAATGTTTAAGAATGAGGCATTTACAATAATATGGCAAAATTTCTTTTCATCATAGTAATGTCAGCAGTGTTCCAACTCCAAACTTTGATGGAAGAAGGCCACATTTTAATCAAAGTCCATTCAGATATTGTACTGTGGAAGACAGGCAAGCATGCAGGTAGGTGGGTAGATATGTAAGTAGATGGGTAGGTAGGTGGGGGGTAGTGCATAAGTACGTAGATAGGTAGGTACGGTGGGTAAGCAAGCAGGCAGGTAGTTATACTATAGGTAAGTAGGTGGGCAGGCATGCAGGTACCAGAACTGCCTACAGAAACATATTTAGTTACACTTCTATGGATCATAATTATACACATTAACCACTATAAAAATAATTCTCAGACTGTCACACATGCTTCAATGGCAAAGGTGAAGTGTATTCAGACAGCATATGAATACAAAACCCAGTGTATCAGCAGGCAATTCTGGTTTGTTGAGCCCTTTTGCTTCATCAGCCCTAAAAGTTTAACCCGTTGCCGTGGTTCGACGTGTATGTTTCGTCAGGGATTTAAATCGTCTGGGGGGGTTCGACGTGTATGTTTCGTCCAGCTGCACACGTATGTTATAACGCCCATAATAATTGATGGTTTTGCTGTAGATTGTTAGATTTTTCACTGGCCTGTTGTCAGGAGGACTGTATTTAATGACACACGCGTTTAAGAGCGCTAAGTCGTCGTTACATATGCCTGTCTTGCAGCAACGTTCCTGTGGCTATTGCGAGCTGTTTCT